TGTTCATTATAAACTAGGGACACTCCTGTACAAGTAAGTTAGTAACCTTAGAAAGTGGGTAATGAACTGATCTGAATGTGATGACCACTTTCTAAGGTTACTAACTTACTTGTACAGGAGTGTCCCTAGTTTATAATGAACACCATTGGAATACCACAGCTTTATCTTGTTAATATGGTCTGCACAAGAATACAGTCGTGTTTTAATACTGTAAATTGTGATTGATTGTCATCCAACCAATCAGAAAGTGCAACATAAATATAGATCATATAAAAGTACAGGTAGTCATACTATGCCCAGTAGTATTATGTATCCAGTCATGGATCCTAGGACTACCAAAATACCACATGGTAAGAATATGGAAATTAATTTTACTTGTGGAGGACACTCCATGCAAAAAATTGTAGCAAGACACTATGTTTTAGTAAAAGGTGCACGTAAGACTCTGAGGAGGTTAAGGTGAACTGGTACGGTTAGTAGAAGAAGTAGTCCACATGGAAAACTCTCTAAGAGTGTTTTACAGTATCTCTGGGTGTGTTATTTACAAGACATATGACGGTTGAGTACAGGTCGTGCCAATGTTACCTCGAAAACAGTAAAATAATGGTCACATAGCTGCTCGAAAATTTCTTCAGAGAAGAGGTAACTAAACCAAAAATTTGAAATAGCACCAGACCACAAACAATGGATTAAACAAATCTGGAGACAAATGTTCTTTCTAGATAAAGTCAAGTTCAAACTGTTCAACAACAAATAACAGCACAATCGTACCTTGACATACTGAATGGCAGCATTCAAATAAGGTGTAATGTAGTAAAGCAAAGAGCTCACATACAGAGTACTAGTGTAAAACATATAGGCCTTTTTTGTATTTTCCCTGGTAAGGTTTCGTACTATTAATAAATTCATCACCTTGTTGTTATTCTTCTTGTATGTGTATCGTTTGTATTTCAATAATTATCTCCGTTACTTTATACGTATCAAAGCATTATTTTAGTTACTTTCTGAAATCACATACATAACACTGTTGAAAGTCAACTAATAAATTACCTAAGAATTCCAGTTCCTGCACCAACGTCAAGCACATTACTATAGCCTGCTTTAACTGCTTCACATATAGCCATAGCAAAAGCTTCGTTTCTCTTCCTGTCGTTTAACATCAAAAAATGCCAGCGCTGCAAAAGTTCAGTCTTCAAGTTTTCAAGGCTCAGTCTTGCCAACGTATAGCCAGGTTTGAGAGTCCAAGCTTTCTGAAAACAGCACGCTGCTTTAAAGGTGTAACCAGATCTGTAAATCAATCAATTACAAACTCGTTTAGGATACCAGTAAGTTACACAAATTGTACTGGACCATATTATCTTTTCTTTCTGCCCATCATAACACTCAGTATAATAAATAAACTTAGTACTCTGAAAATTGTTTAATCTAGAAGTCTAAGTTCAAGGGAGGTCCACTTCAATCTACATTTTGATCAATGTGTGTTATTGGATTATACTAGTTAAGGATAATTTCACTCCTCATCAGTAACCCTCAACACAAATCAACCAAAGACAGAAATGCTGGATCTATTTCATAGTGAAAAGTATCAAACATACTGTTGGTGTGAACGTGCTTTGTAGTCACTATGAGAAAATCCTATACACTGGATAGGTGAAGTGAAGAAAAAGTGTCCTCGGCCACTATTGTAACCCAATAACACATGTTGATCAAAATGAACTGGACGTCCCTTGAACTTAGACTTTGAGATTAAACAATTTTTCAGAATACTAAGTTTATTTATTATATATGGCTATATAATGTGAAGAACTGAATAGTGGACAATGATACTTTTTCTTCACCTCACCTATCCAGTGTATAGGATTTTCTCATAGCGACTACAAAGCACTACTTGTACAGGAGTGTCCCTAGTTTATAATGAACATCATCACATTCAGATCAGTTCATTATATTTTATCTTTTATACTCTCAAAGCTGTGGTATTTTGTCTTTTATACTCTCAAAGCTGTGGTATTTTATCTTTTATACTCTCAAAGCTGTGGTATTCTCGTGGTATTTTAAGAAGATAAAATACCACGAGAATACCACAGCTTTGAGAGTATAAAAGATAAAATACCACGAGAATACCACAGCTTTGAGAGTATAAAAGAATACTCTCAAAACTGTGGTATTTTATCTTTTATACTCTCAAAGCTGTGGTATTTTATCTTTTATACTCTCAAAGCTGTGGTATTTTATCTTCTATACTCTCAAGGTAGACCAATGAGTACAATAATATATTACAAGGTAGACCAATGAGTACAATAATACCTTACAAGGTAGACCAATGAGTACAATAATACCTTACAAGGTAGACCAATGAGTACAATAATACCTTACAAGGTAGACTAATGAGTACAATAATACCTTACAAGGTACACCAATGACTACAATAATAACTCAGTAAATTATCAACCAACCTGGTTTTCTGCAATATGTTATAAAATTTCCTAAAGCTTTTTATTTAAGATTAAGAGAAATTTAAGTTTAATTAAAGATCATTATACCTCATTAAGTAACTATACAATATCAGAAGAAAAAAAAAATCTTTATTTTTGTATAAGGTGATAACAGACATCAACTTACAAGAATTCATTCATTTGTCATCAAGTGATAACACGTTAACTAAAGAAAGTTTAATAAGATCATTTTAAAGTGATATCATGTTAACTAAAGACAGTTTAATAAGATTATTTTAAAGTGATATCATGTTAACTAAAGGCAGTTTAATAAGATCATTTTAAAGTGATATCATGTTAACTAAAGAAAGTCTAATAAGATCATTTTAAAGTGATATCATGTTAACTAAAGACAGTTTAATAAGATTATTTTAAAATGATATCATGTTAACTAAAGATAGTTTAATAAGATTATTTTAAAGTGATATCATGTTAACTAAAGACAGTTTAATAAGATCATTTTAAAGTGATATCACGTTAACTAGACAGTTTAATAAGATCATTTTAAAGTGATATCATGTTAACTAAAGACAGTTTAATAAGATCATTTTAAAGTGATATCATGTTAACTAAAGACAGTTTAATAAGATCATTTTAAAGTGATATCACGTTAACTAAAGACAGTTTTATAAGATCATTTTAAAGTGATATCATGTTAACTAAAGACAGTTTAATAAGATCATTTTAAAGTGATATCATGTTAACTAAAGACAGTTTAATAAGATCATTTTAAAGTGATATCACGTTAACTAAAGACAGTTTAATAAGATCATTTTAAAGTAATATCAGGTTAACTAAAAACAGTTTAATAAGATTATTTTAAAATCATAAATAATAAGTTATCTTTATAGATCAGAACTAAAAACATATACCTAGTAATGAGCATAGCCAATTAGATATAATATTCTTGTTCAAATTAAATTACTTATAAATATTATAGTGAATTGGATACACTCGATGGTATCTCATGACAATTATGTACATAAAGTCTCAACCACTTCTATCTAATTTAAAACATACTGCACAATTCTTCAATTTATTTTTTGTTTCATGACAAAATGGAATATCCATTGAGTTACTTACTGTTGGATTGTTGAAATCCACTTCAATGACTTGAAATGGATTACTTAAGTACTGGAATCCCCCGCGAACAGTGTTTAATCTTTCAGAATCATAAGGTTCTTCCTTATTCTTCTTTCGAGTAAAGATTTTATGAACATCAACTGGCCCCAGAGATTCTACGTTGCTGCTAAGTTCAAATACAAACACTGTTTTAACTATTACGAGTAAGTAATATGTACAGTGTATCTAACTGAAAATCTTAGTGACTTGCACTACTTATGAAAACAGATTAATTATTTTTTTTCTTGGAAACACCCTATTACATTGATCATAAAAATCTTAACATATAAACTGTATATGTAATAAGTTTATAACATATGTGTTTTAAAATATTTAAATTAATAATTTAAGATTAACTAAAGTTTATTTATTCAATACAAACTGATATACATTGAACATGTTCATAAAAAATTTCAGAAACGAAATAAGTTCCGATCTCCAGTTAGAAAATATACAAAAAGAAAACGAAAAACTACTTTTTATACAGGTAAGTATTAGTTAAACAATGTCTCTTTCTGGATCACAGGTGTGTCAATAATTTCCTTTAATCTGTCTTTCTTAAAAGAAAAATACTTAACGAAACTTAAGACAAATTTACCAAATAGCATCTAGTTTAAGCTTTAAAAAAATCATAAAATTTAATTGAGTTTTTCTATCATTTTTTTACATCATTGTAAAATTTCTAAATTGTGTTGAGAGACATTGTCTTACAATAAATACTTCCTTTTCTATAGTTCTAGAATTATAATTTGTTTTATTTTGATCAGAATATTCTATATTATTTATATGTTCAGTATATTTATTTTAACAACTGCAGAAGTCACCATTACTGGCTATAATTTGTAAAAACCAATAATTGTGAAAAACTGATAAATATTTATCTGTGACCTGTCATTATGGCCTCAGGTCCGAATAGGTAACATTATTTTTTGGTCAAATATCAAGTTATATCTAATAAATATAATTTCTTTTACTTACCTATGTAGGTGAGTATGATCAACTTAAAAATGATATTCAACAAATAAGAATTTGAGTCATCACAATATTTTACCGTCACCTACAATATACTCTAAACCTAACTAGGCTTACCTAATGCCTTTTCACTAAAAAAAAATTCTGTAGCTTTCAAACAAGTATAATTAAACACAAAACCATTTTTGGGAATGGGAAAAATGTCTAAATAATCTAATAAAAAAAAAATAGCCTATATATGTGTGCTCCAAAGTCTTCTAAACTTCACACTAAATTATTTAATTCTTTTTTACGGCACCTACGTCTAATCACTTTCCTACAAACCCAAAAGTTTACTTCTCAACCACTGTATTCACTCTACATTGACATAAATAGCTTATAATCTGCTATAACTGCTATAACCAATGGTGTTTAAACCTTGCCATTAGCTATTTTCAAAGAAAGCGTCATTAGTAGGAGTTATATCATATGCTATGAGGTCATAATGGTTGGTAATGGAAGCCTGTATTAATAATAATGCTTTGGGCTAGGCAAAGAAATTCTAAAAAAATCAATAAGTGCATCGTTTACTTAAAAACCTCCTCAGAGCTATGAAGAAATGTAACTTAGATTTTGTTTTTAATTTATATTTGCACAATACAGTAAATAAATGTTACAAAATGCCAAAATATCAGTTATAAAATATTTGTGGGTAAAATAATTTTTAAAACAGAGTTAGAATTATTTAATTTGAAAATTTTATACTTAAGTGTACACTGCTCACTGGTTCAGATAGGGTTAAGTATCTCACACAATTTTCAAGAAAACTCCCCCAAAATAAGTCTTCACCTATTCTTTCTAATCCACTCGCACTCAACCAGTGCAGCCCAAACTTTAGCTTTAGATGGAATCACAAAACCTAGCTGTGAGAAGTCATCTTTGGATAAGGAAGAAGTAGTCTGCTCTGTTTCGTCAGTTGAAACTTTGGGTGACAAAAGCAAGTTTTGCCAAGCATGCTGAAGAGTAAGAAGAATACGTTCTCCAAACAGTCCAGCATCAAACGTTTCCGTTACAAGCAGAGACACCCTGAAGATAAATAAGAAACATTATGCATTCTCTAAATGGTGAGTATTGCCAAGTACTTAATCAACAACAGAATAAGCTCTCTCAACGGTAAGCATGCACCAGTTCTTTACATGAAGAATATTCGTTAAAAGAATAATTAAGAGTTCCCCAAACACTGACTGTTTCTATTAGAAGTTAAACATTAAAGTCAAGAAAGTTCCATAGAGGAATTAAATACTTGGCCATTTGATGTACTACTGAAATAGCAAAAAAAGTTACAATTTATTACAAATCAAACTGAATCATTCGCTTGTATAAACTACAATCTTTGAAGACACTAAATGAAATATATCATCATCATTGAATTACTCAAACGATCATCTGATTTTAGTACTAACTTAGATACTTTATTCCAAGACCGATCAGGAAGATGACGTAATTCAACGTCAAAACATTTAAAGTGTTTGTTTTAATGTGATCTTAGATGAAAGTTTTTAATTGTGTATTAAAAATGTTGATTGTTCGAGTATTTTAATTATATTTACTGAAATACCTTAAATTTTAACCTTTTAGTAATATCCTCATAATAATTTACTGGTAGTTGGTAATTTAAAATCACATAATCCATCATATTTGGAGCTAATCTAAAATCATTTCTATCTATGATTTAAAACCAATTACTAGAATTTTTGGATCTAATGTAATATAATTTCTATGTTTGATTTAAAGCTGATTACACACCATCTTTGGATCTAAATAAACGTCATCTCTATGTTTGATTTAAAGCTGATTACACACCATCTTCAGATCTAAACTAATATCATCTCTATGTTTGATTTAAAGCTGATTACACACCATCTTCAGATCTAAACTAACTATCATCTGATTATACACCATCTTTGGATCAAAATAAATGTCATCTCCATGTTTGATTTAAAGCTGATTACACACCATCTTCAGATCTAAACTAACATCATCTCCATGTTTGATTTAAAGCTGATTATACACCATCTTTGGATCTAAACTAACATCATCTTTATGTTTGATTTAAAGCTGATTACACACCATCTTCAGATCTAAACTAACATCATCTCTATGTTTGATTTAAAGCTGATTACACACCATCTTCAGATCTAAACTAACATCATCTCTATGTTTGAGTTAAAGCTGATTACCCACCATCTTCAGATCTAAACTAACATCATCTCTATGTTTGATTTAAAGCTGATTATCCACCATCTTCAGATCTAAACTAACATCATCTCTATGTTTGATTTAAAGCTGATTACACACCATCTTCAGATCTAAACTAACATCATCTCTATGTTTGATTTAAAGCCAAACCTCTCAGGAAGATCTTTAGGAATTAACATTTCTGTGGAATGTTTGTTGATGACCTTCACTCTTTTGTCCATGTGGTTAGCCTTCAGCACATCTGCAGCTGTTACACAAAGAGCTTCTGACATTTCGCAGGCAATGACCTGGTCAGCTCCAGCTTTAACAGCAAACATGCTACAAGGAGAAGTATGGGAAACATTATGGTTAAAACTTACAAACAGTGTTATATGTCCCAGTTTCTATTGGAAATTTCCTTAATCTTCAACAAAACTCAGCTTGTTTACAAGCCTTAAGAAATGTGAAAAAAAGCTATGGAAAGTGTGTGAGGGAAAGTCTTACAAAATGTGAAGGCAAGGTTCAAAAACTGGAAGAACAAGGCTTGGGATAGTTGTGATGGAAAGCTTGGAAGGATGGTGTGCAAAATTAGATTAAAACTTTGAAATCACTCATAAAAAAATACAGGATTTAGGAAAGAAAAACACTCGATAATAAACTGATCAAATAACAAAACAAATATATAATAAACAAACTAGAGATCAAGCCAACCAGATACCTAACCAACTGTATAATAAATCAACTAGGTAACAAAATAATTATATAACAAAACCACCAGATACCAAACAGACCAAATAATACAGTAACCAAACAACAAACCAAAAAATTATTATAAGAACAATGTCGGAAATTATATTAAATAGTGAGAAAAAAAAAAGAGTATAAAAGATAAAATACCACAAGAATACCACAGCTTTGAGAGTATAAAAGACAAAATACCACAGCTTTGAGAGTATAAAAGACAAAATACCACAGCTTTGAGAGCATAAAAGATAAAATACCACAGTGTTGTAAGGTATTATTGTACTCATTGGTCTACCTTGTAAGGTATTATTGTACTCATTGGTCTACCTTGTAAGGTATTATTGTACTCATTGGTCTACCTTGTAAGGTATTATTGTACTCATTGGTCTACCTTGTAAGATATTATTGTACTCATTGGTCTACCTTGTAAGGTATTATTGTACTCATTAGTCTACCTTGTAAGGTATTATTGTTCTCATTGGTCTAACTTGTAAAGTATTATTATACTCATTGGTCTAACTTGTAAAGTATTATTATACTCATTGGTCTACCTTGTAAGGTATTATTGTACTCATTGGTCTACCTTGTAAGGTATTATTGTACTCATTGGTCTAACATGTAAGGTATTATTATACTCATTGGTCTACCTTGTAAGGTATTATTGTACTCATTGGTCTAACATGTAAGGTATTATTGTACTCATTGGTCTACCTTGTAAGGTATTATTGTACTCATTAGTCTAACTTGTAAGGTATTATTGTACTCATTGGTCTAACTTGTAAGGTATTATTGTACTCATTGGTCTAC